CTTGCTTAGGCTGGTCTCGAACTCCTGAGCTCAAACAATCTGCCCGCCTCGGCCTCCCAGAGTGCTAGGATTACAGGCGTGAGCCACTGCGCCCGGCCTTGGCCTAAATCTTGATACGTTATTAACTGAAGTCCATACTATAGATTTCCTTAGGCTTTTCCTAATGTCCTTTTTCTGTACCAAGATCCCACATTATATTGTCATGTCATCTTAGGTTCCTCTTGGCTGTGACAATTTCTTAGACTTGGCTTATTCTTGATGACATGGACTGGTAAGCCATTTTATAGAACCCTCAGTTGGGATTTGTCTGATATTTTTGCCCCCCTCATGGTTAGATGGTGGTTATGTTTTGGGGGAGGTAAAGTGCTGTTTTTTACCACATACCAAGGATACATAACTGTCAACACAGCTTCTCGCTGTTGCTTTTGATCACCTGGCTGATGCAGCTTTTGTCAGGTTTTCTACTGTAAAGTTACTGGTGTTTCCCCCTGTGCATTGCTGTACTCCCAGGAAGTCACTGTGTGCAGCCCACATTTAAAGAGTGGGGAGTTAGCCCCATCTACTTGAGGGGGGTGTAGCCATATAAGTTACTTGGAATTCTGCATGGGAGATTTGTCTGTCTCCGTCATTTATTTACATATTCAGTCACTTATATCAGTATGGACTCGTGGGAATTTATTTTACATTCAAATTGTTCTGGCTTTGGCCATTGGGAGTTTTTTTGTTTTTGTATTTGTTTTTTAAGTTTTTCTGGCTCACCTCTTTTTTTTTTTTTTAAACTTCAGTCAGTAACTTTGGCATCCTGTTCCTTTGGGCCCACAAGTCCAGAATAATGTGGTGATGAAGTCTCTTTAGCATGACTTTGCTACTCTGTCAAGTCCAAACTGAGTATTCATTTTTATCATCAGTAGAATGGGATACGATCCAGACCTCTGGGATGGTCGTATGGTGCAGAGTGCAAGGCACATATGGGAGCTCCACACACTTGAGTCAACTTGGTGGTTGGCAGCCTCTCTTTTGTAACCTAACAGTATTTCCAGAATTCACCGGAGGAAGGATTTTTAATCTGCCTTTCTACTTTCTCTTTCTGTGGTTCTAAGCACGGGCCAAAATCCAGAATCTAGAAGTAATAGAGTCCACAGAACCAGAGCAGTAACTTCTCAGGTGTTCCCTACTGGCCTCTCACAGTAGCTTATTCTGGGGAAATCTTTGCCAGAAGTGGTCATAGCGTGTTAGGTCAGTCTTCCAGCTGCTGCTGCTTAAATGGTGACTTCCATACCTGGCTGCCCAGGCCGGCTGAATCAAATGCTCCTCAGCACAGCTAGAGTCTGCAGTGTTAGCTCCCCTGGAAGCTCTTCGGATATCTGGGCCCCTGACAATAGTCTGACCTTGGGAATGGCTGTTATGGGTGACTGAGGCTCTTCTATATTCTGACTTGAGTGGACCCAGGAGCCATTCACGGAGTAGGCTGGAGGGCAGAAGCACAAAGCTTTGGGGCAAGGGGGCTGAAGAAGAGTGGGAGGATGCCCTCCAGCTTCCCCATGCAGCTGAGCTGGGAAGTGCCCAGCTGTAGGGAGACAACCCAGGGGACCAGAGGAGAGGCTTGGGCATCTCCATTGCCTGCAGAATAAAATCCAAGCATCCAACCTAGTCTGCTTGGTGTTTCCTTTTTTTAAAAAATTTGACGAAGTCCAGTTTATTTTTTGAGACAGAGTCTTACTCTGTTGCCTGGGCTAGAGTGCAGTGTCTTGTTGTCATAGCTCACTGCAGCCTTGAACTCCTGGGCTCAAGTGATCCTCCTGCCTCAGCCTCCCATGATGCTGGGACTACAGGTGCACACTGTCATGCCTAGCTAATATTTTAAATTTTTTTGTAGAGACAGGGTCTCGCTTTGTTGCTCAGACTGTTCTCGAACTCGGGAGATCCTCTCGCTTTGGCCTTCCAAAGTGCTGGGATTATAGGCATGAGCCACCATGCCTGGCTTTTGGTGTTTGCCCCTTCATCTTCCACTCTTCACTTATTTAAAAGTACCTGCAGCTCCTAATTTGGTCCATGGACTTGTGTCCTGGGCTCTTGTGGCAGTGTGGCCTCCATTGGGAATACCTTTCATCTAACATGTTCATCTTCTGATCCACACTCCAACTCCCCAAATGACCTACATATACACGCTGAAAATTGGTTAACCTAGCCATTCTTCAAGGCTCAGGTTGACCATTTTGACATGCAGGAAGCATCATGTACACACCTGTAACTCTTGTAGCACACACATACCCCAGTTTAGACTGTCACAGCCCATATTCTTGCCATTATGGATTTCCAAATCTACATTCTGTGGGAATAGCAAGGTCCCTGTTCATCTGGGGCCCAACATGAGGCCTAGCCAGTGGAGACTCAGTCAGTGTGTGGAGAACAATTCAGACCAGTGAGGAGCAGCTCCAGAGTAGCTACGGGGGCTTGTCTTAGAAAACGACAATTTGTGAAGAGTTGAAAAAGGGGAGCATCCTGGCCCAGGCACCACCCAGAGGAGATGAGCAGGATGTGGCCTTGTGAGGGGTGGGTGGGATACCTGGTTGATTTGATGTCTTCTGGTGAGGTTGTGTTCTAGTGGGTAGAATCTGAGCATTGAGCCTGGCTCTTCTCATAGGCAGAAGAATTGGAGCCAGTCCTGCCTTAAGGTCAGATAAAGTACGCACAGGCCGCTGAGGGAGGGCCTGGGGTCTCTGTCACCAGCTCAGGTCAGTCAGAGCTGGCAGTGTCTTTTTAAGGGCCTCATGGAGGGAAACAGGTGGATAGCTGCCAGGTGCTTTCTGACTCAACAGAAACTCCTGTGAACATGGGTGGTGCTGAGTCTTCATGCACATGTGCCCTTATTTCTCACTGGGTGGCTATAAATGACCTTTGAGAGTCTCCCCAAGAGTAGAATCCAAACATTATAACATTCCCTTGTTGTTGTAATGCTTGGGATTGCAACTTAGCCAGTAAATGGCTGAGTGAGACCTTGAACCTGGGTCTCTTGGTGCTGAGTCTTGCGGCCCCTTGGTGGTTCACACAGTAGAACACCCCAAGTCCTGCCCTTGCCCCCCGCTGTGTCATTGGGATAGATGCTTTGAGTTTAAGAAACTGGAGCTCAGATGTAGAAGAGCTTACTTGCTTCTTTATAATCTTTGGTACCCCTGGCAGGGAAGCTGGACCTAACCTTTCTGGAGGTGTGGTTAAAGTTTTAAATTGCTGGTTAGATACCAAGAGGCTGACCAACTTCAGAGGTACAGCAATTTGTCTGTGAAGGGGAAACATTCTACTCCTTCCGTGATTCCCTAGTGTGCACCCTGTGCTGCTCCTCCTGGAGGACCTCGCTAGCTGCCCTATGCCAAGTATCCATGTTAACCCTGAGAGTAGAAGGTGTTGAACTCAGTGTGAGAAGGCGCTCAGGTAGAAAGTGAGCTGCCTCAAGTCATCTAGCTAGTTTGGAATGATCTTGGAGCAGGGATTTCTGACTTGACAGAAACATCAAGTGTCTACTATGTACAAGGAACCAGAGGTAGGCACCATAGGAAACTTAGTCCTCCCTTGGTGCTTCATATGTAATAGGTTTGCACTTTGCATGCCATTCTAATACAAAGCAGAGTAAGCACTGGTATAAAAGCAGAATGTATTCCCTGGGGGCCCAGCCACAACAGAAAAAGTTACATCCAATTTAGGGGGAGGGTGGGCTTGGTAGATCTGACCCCTGAGCTAGAAACTGCTGGCCAGGCAGAAATGGTAAGCTCAAAGGCTGGAAGGCAGGAAAGTGTAGGGGACCTCTTTAGATGAGGGGTGAAGGAGGGAGGGATGCCTTGGATCAACATTTAATCCTCAGGAGATGGCTTCTTGGTCCTCAGGGCCTTCTAGTTAGTGTACCCAGTCCTTTGGTTTCCAGGAGGCTCCCAGGGCAGCGCCCAGTCTGCCTATAAGACTTGTATTCCTGAGGTTGGCATACTCCAGTTAATCAGATAAGGTGGCTCAAGGCAGCATATATAGCCCACTTCTTTGCTTTTGGTCAAGTGGAACTCAGCTCAGAGTGGTCTGAAGCTGGAAAAAGCAGCAAGAGGTCCATTTGTCAAATAGTAGCCGCGGCTGTGTGTGCTAGGCTCTGTGCTAGTGCCAGCCATGCAAGTTGGTGTGGGCTCTTATTGCATTTGTCCTTTGAGGGAAGGCAACATCTCACCAGGGGCTGGTCAAGGAAGGCTTTCTGGAGATGTGCCACCTGAAGGTAGTCAAGGATGTTTGGGCCTCAGCCAGGCATAGAAGGGAGCTTAGGGATGAAGATAGTCAATTCAGAAGGTACGCTCTTTACAGAAACGTAGAGTCCAGGAACTCTGAGGTAGTCTATTATTCTGGAACATCAAATAGAGATTGGGTGGAGGACTTGATATAATCTAGGACAGAAATGACTTCATGTTGTGTGGAGAAATCTGGAGGTCACTGGGGAGCCATGGAGGCATGTGAGCTGTGGGGTGAGGGATTTGCATATGAGAAGTTATTTGTAGGAGGCTGAGCTTGATGGTTTATTTGGCCATTCAAGCCAAAGAATCCTAGGGGTCAGGAGGAGCCCCCGCTCCCTGAAAGCCAAGCACCCCGAGTGTGAAGCTGAGTGTGTGGAGGCTGAGTGCCATGGAAACAGAGGGTGTACTCTGGGCTGCTTCCCTTCACAGCCAGCTGGAGGAATGGCTGTCTCTTGGTTTCCCTGGCTCTGACCAGTGCTTGGTATTGTTCCTGTCTCCATGATTCTGGTTCCCTGTGGCTAGGTGTAGTTCACGTTTGTTCCCTAGTTCACGTTTGTTCCCTAGTTCAATGAGTGTGTGTATCCACGTGTGTACACCTTGTCCATTTGGCAGCCTACCATTCTGATATGTCTGCAGCCTGCCCAGGGAGTATGGGGACAATGAGATTACCAGGGGAGGTGACAGGCTTGGGCTTCTGGCCTGGGTCTGCTGCTTTCTCTCCAAATGCAGTCTTACTTGAGCCCTGTGTTCTTACATGAAAATTGGGGCAGTTAAGGTTAAACTTGTGAATGTTGGGTGGGTTTTCTCCTAGTCCCTTCTTCACTATAGCGTCCCTCTGATCTTGGTAGATAGTAGGGGATGAAGAAGGCTGTACTCACTGGAGGTACATTGTGAGCAGAGGCACATGGAAAAGGAGGGGAAGAGAAACTCAAGTATGGAGTTCAGTGGCCCAGGTGGAGGAAAGCAAACTTGGTCTTTGGCCTCCCGGTATCCTGGAGGGTGACGTTGATACCTTACCAGGTGTGAGCTGTAGGAATCCCCGAGTACCTGTGATGCTGGCATCCATGGAGCCTGGGCTCCTGGGGCTCGGGTATGTACTGTAGTATACAGTCATGGTGACCAGGCTGAACGATTTAGAAAGGCTCCCCTCGGGGCCTGGGTATCACCTGTGTTGGGGGGAGGTCTGCTGGGAGCCCAGGACCATGTGCTTGGACCTTGTGCCTCTTCTTTAGGTGATACCCCTCATGTGCTTTCAGGCTCTTCTGAACATAGCATGCTGTATACCTATTTCAGAACTGCTCTGTGGTGAGAGCAGAGTAGGAATTAGAGAGAAGCCTGATGTTGGCCAGAGGTTGGTGGAAGATGAGTGAGACAAATCCCATGAGGGGAGTGGGTACTATTGTGGGAGAGACAGCAGGGTGCAGGTCTGAACTTGGTGGGAGACTGGTACCCCAAGGTGTTGGAGCTTAGACCTAGACCTAGGGGCCCAGGTTACTAAATAGACAAAGGGGTGCTTGGGTATGTCTGCCACACTTGTCCCTGCTGCCTCGTTCTGTTGGAGAGCCAGGCTTTTAGCACAAGGGTGCTTTGTGAGAGTGGAGCCAGGAGTTAGAGAGTAGTTGATAGCAGGCTGGGGACTGCCATCCCTCCAGGGTCACTGTGGCCTGTGTATGGGCTGGTAGTCCATCTCCCAGACGCAGTGACGCTGCCACCTACACAGTGCTCTGCTCTGCTGCAGTGAAGAGGGCCCATCTGTACTTTAGAGTCTGTCGTGGGGTATCAGCTGTGTGACTTGGAGTGGTAGCTATGTGACTCTGGCCAGCGACTTTCCCTTGGATTTAGCAGTGCTACCCACCCCCGACCCCTGTAATGGGATGCTCCCCAGCAGCTTCTCTGGAGGATTACACATGATAAAGGAGCATGAAGGGAGCACCTGGGACAGAATCAGTTCCCTCCCTTCCCCTCAGTTCACATGTGGGTATCATAGGCATCCTTTGTTCTGACCTTACTTTTATCTACTCCCAATCCCTACTTTGTCCTGACATGCTGGGTGACCTCTCTAGGGGTGGCGGTCTGCCAGCTGACCCTCACCTCACATACCTGGGTTGCCTTGCTCTGACTCCAGGATACTGACTCAGATCTGTAAGGCAGGTCTTTGTTCCTCCTGGGAAGGCCCAGAGCCAGATTTTACTAAAACTGGGCCTTCTGACCCAGATTTTTGGCTCTCTCTGCTAAACTCTGAGGGGCCTAGCCTGGTCCATGGGAGTTGGTGCCTTTTAACAGGGGCATGTTCTCAAGTTAAGCAGCTAGTGGGCTCTGGTCTTGGAATCTAGTTCTAGCCTGTCTAGAGCTCACCCCACAGCTTGGTGAGTTTTAGGAATTGGAGGGGAGGGCAGGATCTCCTCCAGATGTTATAAGATGTACTTGTAATAGTCTCAGGGGATATGTCAGGAGTGTCATCACTCCCTACCCAGCCTGTTACACAGGGCCCTCTCCTGCCCCTTGCTCCCACCTGCCTGACTTGCCAACTTTCTCTGTGCCTCACAAGAAGCCTCAGGTCTTTGAGATTTTCCAGGCCTGCTTCCTTCTGGTCTGGCTTTATAAAGGACTTAAGTCATTGCCCGGAACTCTCTACCCAGGTCCTCCATCCCCCTCTTCCTCATCTGTACTTGTATGCTTTCCCTTTGCTAGGTGATTTCTTCCTCGAAACTTGTACCCAGTGCTGTTGGGGACTTTGCCTTCAAATTCCCCCTGGCCTCTGCCTGGTCAGCATCCTGGAACAAGCAGAAGCTGCCAGGTGACTACAATGAGACCAGAGTCAAGCTCATGATTATGAAGTGGGCTTCGGCTGCCCTCCGTGGCTCTGCCACTCAGCCTCAGTGTCCTTGTCTATATAGGGAGAAAGGGTAGCTCTGGTTCTCTTTCCCTCTAACCTCTCTGCATGCCTGGACCAGGGATCCTTCCTGTGTTGGTGCCCACCAGTGGGGCCCTCAGTCTTCTGACAAGTGGAATAGATGCCCCCAGAGAATCTCTGGGCCCAAATAGGGTGATGTGAGGCTGCCTCATTCAGCTGAGAGAGAGCCCTGGGATCCTTCCCCTGGTGCAGCAGATACCTATAACTGGAAGTCTCCATACAGAAGTGTTCCCATTCCTTACTCCTAAGCCTGAACTTGAAACAGATGGCCTTTGGAAGTCAGACCAATCTCTAGTTGAACCACAAGGAGGCTGAGGTACAGAGTGCTGATTTCCAGGCCCAGCTGGCCCCCACTTGGCCTTACTAGAGAGAGAATTGCTTTAATGGGGCCCACACCCTCATCAGAGGCCCATTGGTGACCCCATGTTTCCTTTGCAGGACAAGATTAGATGCACCCCGCTTGGAAACAAAGTCCCTGAGCAGCTCCGTATTACCACCCAGCTATGCTTCAGATCGCCTGTCGGGAAACAACAGGGACCCTGCTCTGAAACCCAAGCGGTCCCACCGCAAGGCAGACCCCGATGCTGCTCACAGGTACTCAGCTTAGGACACTCAGAGGCCAGCAAATCAGCCCCATGGCCTGGATACAGGGTGAAATGGGTGAGGAAACCTGAGGGGTAGGCTGGTTAGGAGTCTGAGATTACCTACCCTTCCAAAGCCTTATGTCTGGTTCCTCTGGTTTGGTGGTATTGGTAACATTCCCACCTAATTCCTAACCAACTGCCTGTACCCCCAGAGAGACTCTGACAAATGGGAATATGTTGTTTGCTTCCTATGACTTCTTTGCTCAATCCCATCTAGCCACACAGTCTTGTGGGTTTATACTTAGATGTTAAGAGGGAATCTTGGGACTTGGAAAATGGCAAACCAGGTACTTATTTCAGAAGGGTTGGGTAAGGTTTCTGAGGAGGTAACGTTTCAGCTGAGACAAGAAGGATAAAGAAGACGTGTGAAAAGCAAATTCTGGATAGGAAGTCCTGTATATAAGCCGAGCCCCCAAGACAGAAAAGAGCTTGGTGGTTTCAGGGGCTAGTGGGGTTGGTGAGTAGAGAAGGAGGGGAGGGCATGGGGGCACCGAGAGAATGTGGGGAAGTAGAGATAGACAGCAGGACCATGCAGGGTCTTGAGGCTGTAGTAGGGAAGACCTTCTATCCCTCAGCCCTGGCAGTGTCGTGGGGCACCAGACTCAGCCAGGCAGACCCCACAGAGTAATTGGGAAATGTCTCAAAGACTAGGATGGCCACTGGCACTTAGTGGACAAAAACCTTCCATGCCAGTGCTCGTACTATTACTACCATTCATTGAGGACTACTGGGCTGGAGTGACCCATCCCAAGGATGAGGATTCTGAGGCCAGGCCCAGAGGTGGCAAGGCCAGGCCCTTCCTGCCAGCTTCTCAGGCAGCGCCCCCTTACCTTTCCTTTCAGGCCACGGATCCTGGAGATGGACAAGGAAGAGAACCGGCGCTCAGTGCTACTGCCCACACACCGGCGAAGGGGTAGCTTCAGCTCTGAGAACTACTGGCGCAAGTCCTACGAGTCCTCGCAGGACTGCTCGGAGGCGGCAGGCAGCCCTGCCCGAAAGGTGAAGATGCGGAGGCACTGAGGCCTGCCCGCCACCCTCCTGGGAACTCTGGCTAATCCTCACGTAGCTGCCCTCCTTTTGTTTTGTTTTGAGGATTTTGTTTGTTTGTTGTTGTTGGTTTTTTTTTTTTTTTGAATCCTATATATTTTTTCCTTGATTTGTTGCCTGTTAAGGCTGAAGAACAGAACTGGCCAGGACCTGGGTTCTCATGTTTTTGGTTTTCCTCCTGGACGGAAAGGCTGTTGGCATCTGTAGGGGACAGAGGCTCACGCTGGAGTGGCCAGTAGAGGTATGGGGTGCAGCCATCTTCAAGTGGGGCTGTGTCAGGCAGGGTTCATTTAAAAGCAACAAAATGTTTTAGTTAAAAAAATTCTTTTGCTTTCATTGTAAATCTTTGCTGTGTTCTAAACAAAGTTCAATCTCTTACCCCCCCTTCCCTCCACTTACGTGTTTGGCTGAGGTCTCCTGGGACCTTGCTGGTTCTGTGCTGGGCCTGCTGTCCTCCACTTTTCACCTCTCTGTGCCCTGGAAGCTCATGCAAACACCCTTCCTTCCTCCTGTGGCAGGGTGGTTCAGGTTGGCTGGGCAGAGGCTTAAACAGTGCCAGCCCCTGCCACCTTAAAGCTATTGCTGAGCCCCCTGGGCTTCCACGCGTACTGGCCTGCTCTGCCCACAGTTGCTTGGGCTGCTGAGGGGCTAGCGCAGCGGTCCTGACCTCTCTTGCCAAAAGCACACCTCTTTGCTGGGTTGCTCCTTTGAAGCATATGCTTGTGATTGTATGGAACAGTTAGACTCGCCATGTTGGGTCAGTTTTAGGAATTTTTTCTAGCTAGAGGGACTGGTGTCCTAGCATTTGGGGTATGGAAATTTGTTGTGGTGTGTGGTAGGGTTTTTGTTTTCTTTTGAGTTTTTTCTTTTGGTCTCTTGGCTTCCTCCTTTCCCTTTCCTTCTTCCTCCATTGGCCAGCTTGGGCCGCCTCCCCCTGCCATCCCTCTAGGAAGGCGCCTGCGCCCTCTGCCTGCAACATACATCCAAGGCCAGAGCTCAGGCCTGCAGGCTGGATTGTTGCTGTCTCCACCTCAGGCATGTGAGCTGGGGAAGTGGCTTTTAAAAAATAATAGAAAAAAATTAAAGTTTTTGGCAGTTTCTACCCACTCAGATCCTGGAAAGCTGCAGGGTTTTGCTGATCTAGATTCATTAGGAATGTCTTCTCATCAGCCAGGCCAGGACCTGGGCTTGCCGAGAGCAAGGCCTCCCGGCAGCCAGGCTACCACCATTATGGGGCTTTGTTTCCAGAGGCCCAGGCCTAAGGCCTCAGAGGCTGCAGAAATCTGGGGCAGCCACCATCAAGAAGCCCCTCTCAGGGGCCAGAACTCCTTTGCCAGCGTGGATTCCTCAAGTCGGGACTGCATAACTAAAGCAGTTGCAGTTTTATTTTTTTTACAGCTTTTTTCCCAAAAATGATTTGTAGTTGTGTGTGCAGCACTTTGCCCTGATATGTGTGCTCTACAATAAAAACCAAATCTAATATATTTTGAAACAGTTGTCTGATGCTATCATAAGAGAGGGCTTGCCTTTGGTGCTTCTTTAATCCTGTTACTTCTTAAAACTCTGGATGCGGGTTGGGGAGGCAGAGCTCATTGCCCACCAGGGCCCCAGAGGAGACAACCAGTCACTAGCACCAGGGCTCTTGTGTGCCCAGCCTTGGGCTGATGACTGAAAATGGACTCACCCACTGCCCTCTCTCCCACTCCAATGAAGATGGACTTCATAATCCGTGGTGTCCAGGGGCCCCACCCTACTAAGTTCTGGAAGCTCCTCTTCTGGTGTGATCATGGAGAAGCTGGTGCCAGTGACGGGGGAAATGGTATTCACAAAGGCAGGGGAGAACCTGGCTTTCATGGAAGATACGCAAGTGATTTTGCTCATTAAATTCTTAAGTTCCCACTACATATTGGCCAAGCTCTCACTGAGTCCCCCAAAATGAGCAAAACTCTCTGGTCCCTGCTTTCAAGATGCTCACAATAGAGTATGGGATACCCGTACGCGTGTGAAGCAGATGATTTTGGGTGGGTGAGGCTGGGGCCCAGAGTGCTTTAGTTCCTCCAGATTTCAGACCTAGCTCTCTGGGCCTGGCTAAGGGTTTCAGTCTAGAGTCTTCCCTCACTCTTCCTGTGCTCAGAGCCAGTCTGCTTGGCCAAATTCTTTATGTGGAAACCTGGACAAGCTGCTCATTTAGTTAGCAGGGAAGAGAGACTCCAGAGGGAACAAGTAACTGGCCAGGGCTTAGTCTGAAAACCAGTGCCAGGGTATGAAGAGGGGTCAGAGCCTTGGCGTGGGCTCTGGCTTGCAGGGGTAGCTACTGGGCTGGGCAGAGAGTGGATCTTGGATTTCCTGAGAGACATTGGAGCTGAAGGAAAGTGACTGGTAGAATGTCATCCAGACTACATGGCAGAGGTGGATGTCTCCCACTCCATGCTTGGGCCTCAGACTTGGCATGGGATGAGGGCTCAGTGAAGGCCTCGGGGGCTGAGAGGGACCCTCTATTGTAGCTGTTACAAAGACCCAGGCTCTTCCCAGCAGCACCTGGGTGAAAGAAGCCCTTCACCCTGTAGGATTGGGAGATAGGAGGGGCTAGAGGAAGGGGCTCCAGCCCTGGCACTTCCTGCCGTGGCACTGGCTTCAGTCTCTACACCTGTACAGCAGCTCCATGGCACCCCATCTCTGTGACATCCTCAGAGTAGTCCCTTAGAGCCCCACACCTGACTACCTGAGTCAGCCTGTTCCCAGCTATGTCCTGGAGCACAGGGCCAGTTGCTGAGTCCCACCAACCCCTGCCCCAACCCAGTCTTGCATACAGTAGATGCTTTAACAGTTGGCACCAGAAAGCCCATGTGCCTGGCTTCTGGCTAGTGCTCTGCTTCCTGACCTACTGGAATGGCTGCCCAGTAGGCTGCTACCCTTTATGAGAAATAAAGCTCTCCTTTTTCCAAAGTTAAACAAAAAAATAATTGGCACCAGCCCCATCCACCTAGGATCCCATCCCATTCCTCCAGCCCTGCTGGGTAGACAGGGAATTTGAGGCCCAGAGAAGTCAGGGGCTGGCCTACAGTCATGTTCATGCACTTAAAAAAAGTATTGAGTGTCCTGTGTGTGCCAACCTTAGTGCTGGAGATATAAGACAGACCTGGTATATAATGTCATATACACATACACGTAAGGTTATTATAAATCGTACTGATATAAAAGTAGCATAGAAATTGTGAATAATAAAATATACAGATATACTCTTTATTATAAATTCCATATAGCCAATTGTTTCTTACAAGAAGCTTCTGTTGATTTTTTTTTTCTTTTTGCTGAATTCTTGTATTTGTAGTCTGTCTGTGGTTGTAATTCAACCACAACATGATGAAGGAAGTTATATCTCATCTGTTTGTACTAGTTTCCTGTGGCCGCCCTCACAGATCACTACAAACCTGGTGGCTTGAAACAACAAATTATTCTCACAGTTCTGGAAAAATTGGAAATCAGTATTACAGGCTGAAATCAAGGTGTTGGCAGGGCCATGTTATCTCTGGAGGCTCTGTTCCTTGCCTCTGACAGCTTCTAGTGGCTACTAGCATTCCTTGACTTGTGACCACAACTCTGGTCTCTGCCCCCATGGTCACATGGCCTCTTGTGTATACCACATCTCCCTCTGCTTCTCTCTTAATAGGACATTTGTGATTGAATTTAGGGCCCACCCAGATTCCAGATAATCAAAATTATCTTCCTATGTAAAGATCTTTAATCGCATCTGCAAAATCCCTTTTTCCTTATGAGGTGACATTCACAGGTACCAGGGATAAGGACCTGGTATCTGTGGAGGCTACTGTTCAGCCCCTATACTGCTCTTTCACCAATAAGGTTATTGTCTTTAAATCTGATAAATGACCTGTTTACTCATCCTCAGATGATGTTAATTGAATTCCTCAGCATTACTTTTAAATTTGATCTGAATTGTTAATATTGTTAATATTTTCTCCATTGCTTTCTGAAATCTAGACCTGTGCTCTCCAATACAGTAGCCACTGGACACTGGCTATTACGCACTTGAAATGTGGCTAGTTTGAATTGCGATGTGCTTTAAGTGTAAAATACACACCAGAATTTGAAGAGTTGTTATGAAAAAAGAATGTAAAATATTAATAACTTTCTATCAATTACATGTTGAAATACTATTTTGGACATACTGGATTAAATAAAACATGCTATTTAAATTAATTTCATCTGTTTCCTGTTACTGTTTTGAATCTGGCTACTCAAGAATTTAAAATTACGTATGTGGCTTGCATTTTATTTCTGTTGGATGGCACTGGTCTAGAAAATCAACAATAAATCAAGCCTGATTTGTGGTATTTGTCAATTTCCATGGTGTAAATACTCCCATCATGGCTGACTTCAAGCTATCAACATAAGGTCACTGAATGTTGAGTTGTGAAGAGGTGCAGTATAGTGTTTCCACCATCTAGATACAATACATGTAATTAACTTAAAAAGCATAGATAATAATGAAATGTATTAAGATAAATAGGAAATGCTTTTGAATGTTACCTTAGTTTTTAATATAATTTTAATTCTATATAATTTTTAATAATGACTGTTTAACAACTGACTTGCAAAAATTCTTGGGAATTTGCCAATTGGCTTTTGCAGGGGGCTCCAGCAGACCACTGGGTTCCGCTGGAAGAGTTTTGAGCAGAGGAGGCATGTGATCAGATTTAGGATCCCTTGGGCTGCTGTGTTGAGGACAGTTAAAATCAGTAAGAGAGCCACTACTTCAGGGAGAGACCTAAGAGCTGGGGTGGTTGTGGGTGCTCACTGCTGCAGTTCCCTGCTGTGTCCACAGTGTGGCAGCAGAGTCCGAGCAATGGTGATTGGGCGTGGGTGGACAATGAACAGCTGCTGTCCCTTGGTTTGGATGGGGAACTGAGGTCCCCAGAGGCTCAAGAAGCTGTCAGAGGTTACCCAGTGATTCTGCCCTGCTCAGCCAGGCCTTCAGGGCTAGTGGGTGTGGAGGGGCACTGGGACCTGGCAGACAAGCAGAGGCCCAGATGCCATCAGGTGCCCTCCAGGCCACCCACAGAGCTGTGGGCAGAGCTCCCAGCCTGGGCCCCACACTCTACCTCTCTTGGTCCCAACTCTTTGGGGAGTTGCATGTGGCAGTGCCCTCTGCCTCAGGCAAAACTGTTGAAGCTACCTTCTTTAGCCCCTACCCAGGCTTCTCAGGGCTGCCTCTGGGCTCCCCCAGACCCCTGGCTTCCTTCAGCACAGCCCAGAGTGTACTGTGTGGTCCCAGTGCTTCCATTCTAGGCTGGGAGACAGGGACCTAACTCCCACCTTCTCCTGGACTCCCACCTTGAGTGAGGCCCTTTATTTACTGTCTCATTTAATCCTCACCGCAACCTCTAAGACCTCACTTGGGGCCTGGGTTCAAATCCCAACTGCTGTGTACTAGCTGTGTGACTTTGGGCAAATTACTTAACCTCTCTGGCCTCAGTTTCTTCCTTTGTAAAATGGGCATAGGATTAAAGGAATGACTGATGCCTGATACAGACTAAGTGCTCAGTGTTAATAAGTGGTAGCAATTGATATTAGCCCCCATTTTGCGGATGAAAAAACTGAGTCCCAAAGTGGTGAAGTAGCAGAGGCAGAATTAGCACTTGGGGCACTAGAGAGGAATAAGCACAAAACCCCACCTTCTAACAGGCCTGTGGCAGTGTACACATGCCCATCCCTGAAGCCTAAACCCTGATAGTCCCTGCAGGGGACAGGTGCACCCAAGTCCCCAGGTCCTGTACCCCAGCAGAAGCCAAGAAAAGCAGCTCAGGATCCAGGTTCTGTGAATGTCAAGGCTGAGAGTCCTGTCTCCACAGAAGATATACTAGGCTAGAGGTCCAGGGATCTGTATACTATTCACCCCTGACCTTGGGCGGCAGTTTTCTGAGCCTCAGTTTCTTCCCTTATATAAAATGAGGACAGACTGGGTCGGCCCCAACACTGCCCCTACCTGTGTGGCCTTTCTTCCACTGAGGCACAGAACACTATCCACCCTCTGGACTGAGGAGGCCCTGAACCCACTGCTCCCTCCCCTCTGTGTCTAGAGAACTCAGGCCCTAGTTGGTGTGCTGGCTCATGCCTGTAATCCCAGCACTCTGGGAGGCTGGGGTGGGAGGATCGCTTGAGCTCAGGAGTTCAAGACCAGCCTGAGCAAGACTGAGACCCCGTCTCTACTAAAAATAGAAAAAATTAGCTGGGCCTGGTGGCTGCCTATAGTCCCAGCTACTTGGGAGGCTGAGGCAGGAGGATTGCTTGAGCCCAGGAGTTTGAGGTTGCTGTGAGCTAGGCTGACGCCACGGCACTCCACTCAGGGCAATAGAGTAAGACTCTGTCTCAAAAACAAACAAAAAACCCCAAAAAACTGTAAAATGAAAAAATTTTTAGCTTCATTTTGCATTCTACACAGGATGAGGTATTCACTCCCCCCTGGCCTGGGCTGGCCTGTTGACCCTGTCCTGGAGTCCCAGTCAGCCCCTCAAGCCCCTTTCTCCCTCTCTCTCATCTCCCTCCTTCCACCAGCCTAGACTCCACTCCAGGAATCCTCCAGCCTGCCAGGTCCGCCCCCAGTTGCTACTGGGAAGAAGCTGAGTGTGTGGTTTGGGCAGCTCAGAAGGGTCGTGGTCTCGCTGGGATCTGAGCCAACTCCTGGAAGACTGGGCCTGCTGCCTTCAGCCATGCTCTCCTGATTTTCCTCCCACTTCCTTGCTGCCCCTACTCTGCCTTTCCTTGGGGCTTACCCCCTTGACACTCCCTGGGATCACCCCTTCTTCCCTCTGCAGGGAAGTGACCAAGTCACTTCTCTAGCTTCCATTTGCTGTCTGTAAAATTAGATCCTCCTTGTACTGATGAGGATTCAGGGAGATAAAGTGCAGATACCGAATTTACTAGGGCACCTACTTCTGAGGACATCCTCAGGGCATCTCAGCCTGGCTCAGGGACACCCCTTTTTACCTACCTACCTGCCCACCCACCTCCCATCAACCACCACTTTCTGTGGACTTGACTCAACAGTATCGATTATTATTTGTGTTGCATTATTTTAATGAAATACCTAAAACATACTGAAAAATACTTAAAATAACAGAGAAGCCACACAAGCACCCACCACCCACACATTAACACTTTGTCATATTTGCTTCAGATCTGTTTTTTAAAAAATCTATTTTAAAAATGCATTGAGCACCTACTATGTTCTAGGCACTGGGGACACAGCAATGAACAACGGGATTAAAAACCCAGCCCTCAAGGAGCTCATTTTCAAGCTCAGGAGACAAGCAACATACACACAAAGTTAAATCAAATAGGTGGTGGGTGAGAAGAGTAGTCAAGAGAGTGGAACCCTGTCCCCTTGGGCTGCTATCGTAATCACAGGCTTGGGCTGACCTGGCTTAGGGGGGAGGGGACAGATAGTCATTAGTGCCCCAGACCCTCCCAGCCTGGGGGATGGTGTCCTCCCCAGTGCCATTCGTAACCCCTGCCTGGCTGTGTGGGTAGGCTGGGCCTGCCTGCCCAGGCCTCAGTTTACCCATTTGTATCTCAATGTACCCATTTAACCCCTCTTAACTCAATCAGATGGGGCAAACCTGGGCCTCAGAGTCACTTGGGAAAGGGACTAGTTTAAAATCCAGATTCTAGGGCCCTACTTCACAGACATTCACATTTGGGGGACCTAGGATCTGCATTGTTAGCAAGTGTGTGTGAGGGCGTTCTGACACTTTGAGAATCCCTGTTTGCCATGGGACTCTTCCCAGCCTATCCCCCAGTCCCCTCTACCAGGTATACTCCTTACCCACTACAGCCCAGCTTGAATTGTCCTCTCCCCCGAGCCAGGACACCTACCCTGGGCCAAATACCTCTCCTGGGCTCCCAGAGCCCCAGTACACCCCCATCTTAGGATGGTGAGCTATGGGTAACTGTAGTCTCCACTCAGTTCTGTTCTCCTGCACCCTCCCCTCCCCACAAAACTGTAACTGGCTGCTTACTGCCTGATGACCAAGTCCCATTTCAAAATGGAGACTGAGGATCTATGACCATACCACCCTGAATGTGCCTGATCTTGTCTGATCTCAGAAGGTAAGTAGGGTCGGGCCTGGTTAGTACTTGGATGGGAGACCACCTGGGAATACCGGATGCTGTAGGCTTTTGCAAAAAAAAAAAAAGAAAGAAAACAAAACGGAAACTGAGGAAGGGCAAGGATTTGCCCAGGGTGATGGAGGGGAAGAGATCAAATAGCAATTAACAAAAACCATAATAATATTAAATAACAGCTAACACTTATATGGTTCTTCCTATCTGCCTAGCAAGTTCTAAAGAATTTATAAATGAGTATTAATTTATCTAATCTTCACAACAACCCTTTGAGGTAAGGACTAATATTATCACCATTTGTACAGATGACCAAACTGAGGCACAGAGTATTTAAGGTAACTTGCTCCAGGTCACCCAGCTTCTAAATGGTTAAGTGGAGACGTGAATTAACAACTTTTGTTTTTAGAGACAGGGTCTTACTCTGTCACCCAGGCTAGAGTGCAGTGGCGTCATCACCCCTCACACTGCAGCCTAACTCCTGGACTCCAGCGATCCTCCTGCCCTGGCCTCCTGAGTAGCTGGGACTACAGGCATATGAGCGCCGGCTAACATATATATA